GCTCAGCCAGTGAGCACACCGGCCATTCCTATATAGGATCCGAACCCACGGCAGGAGCGTCACTGCGCTCCCAGCACCGCACTCTCCCGAGTGCGCCACGGGTCCGGCCCTCAGTTAGTCTTTTAAACCGCAAGTTAGTCCTGGACAACCCCAAAACACACCACCAAAAAGTGAGTTTCTTATGAGAAAATGTTTCATTAATGTCAAGTCAAACTCTAATAAAGCTTGGTGTTTGGAATATGACAGAAGGCAACTAATCATTTTTTTTGCACCACCTAAATAGCTTAACCAAACTTTGAGAGTTGTTTATCTACAATCCCATCCTATGGCCTCAGATTGTGCATTTCTGTACATGAACATTAATTCCAGTTTTGTATAGAAATCTACACTAAACATTGCTTAGAAGGAAAGGGAAAAAATTTCAAATAAATACTAGAAAAAGCTCTCTAGCTCAAGTTTTAGGTCACTTCATATTTTATTTAGCCTGGGCTAGCCAGAGAATGGCATTCTGATCACACTGATTGTGTAAGTGAAAACAGAATCTGAACAAAGTTAAAACAAATCTTTTATATGAGACATTATGTCACTGAAATGATCTCTCCCTGATTCCAGGTAGCAACGAACACAGCACTTAGTGCTGTCAAATACAATAATAATATACAAGTTAAGAATGCTCTCCAAATTTAAGGTGACAAGATTTTGCTATAACCAGACACATTATCGTTACAAAATTACACATCACCAAATTACCTGCAGGGCAACATTGTCAGAGTTCAACTCTGGGCCCAACTCAGTCAGTTCCACGTGGAACATATAGAATATGAAGCCGTACAGTGCTGGCCCCAAGCCATTGCAGAGTCCTCTTATTCCAGTTATGATCCCCTGGGCAACTCCTAAATCAGAACAGAGAAGGGAGTCAGTCTTGTCAGAAAAGCACCCCAAGATTTGGAGCTTAACAGTACTTTTTAATAAACTATGAAATACTGATTCAGCTGGACTCAGTAGAAAGCATGCTGAGAAAAGTAGATTAGGAGGATTTTGCCCATATTTTCATCCATTGCACAAATATTTTCTTGGTTTTACTATATCCATTTAATGTTATCCTTACTCTCTGTCCTAAGATCTATAAGGAGATGAAATGACAGTGATGTTTCTGAAGTCCTTTGGGGATCGAATTCCCCGTACCAGCTAGATCTATAAATAGGAAATAATAAAATAAAAAATTTAATATTCCCCCATGATTTAAGGCAATTTTCACTTTTCTGTGGATAGAGATTTCCCTGTTCTGCTCATTTAACATGCTATTACAATAAAAATCTGCCCTTCACCTCTGGCAGCCACATGTGAATACAGAGCAATCCCTGCAGGCAGACTCCACCCTCATGGCTGTCTGTCTGCATTCTGGGCCCATCTCCCTGTAGATCTGCACTCAAAAATTCCAGAAGTGCCAATTTCTAGATATCTTTACTTTCTAACACTGCAGGTAAAAAATTAGCTTCAACCATATGAAATAGATATTTCTGCAAGTCAAAAAATGGTCACATATAATTCAGCCTAATACAATGTGTTTCAAAAGTTTCATATGCTGACATGTAGAAACATCTGTATTAATACATATAGGTATAAAAACAGCCAAAGAAAATTCATATCCCAAATGACAGGACAGGGTCTGTCAGACACCAAGGCAGTGCCAGTCATCCATCAGTTCACACCTTCACTTCAGACACAACACCTCCCGAGAATGAGCTACCCTGGGGTGTCACACAGAATCTGCGGTCTGCAAGTGACACTATTTAAAAATGAATATGAATAAAATGGCTAAATTCTGATGAGAAAAATAGATATGATGAATAAACTATCTTTTCCAATCTAATATTTTATTGAAACTTTTAAAAGGGCTGTTAGGCATTTAAAAAATTTTCCCTCTAAAATTCTCTACTTCCTGACTACAGTAAGGTGAGCCATTTGGAGATGGAGAAGAAAAATGATTAATTCCGGCAGTAGGAACTGCCTGAAAGGTAAGCAGAGGCACAGGAAGGACAGAATAAGATTCTACTCTCCACAGAGCAGTCTTAATTTCAATTTCATCTCTCACTCTGCATCCAATTAGAAACAACCACACAGATTTATTTTTTTCGTTATCCTCTCAAAGAACCATTTCTTTAATTAAGCTCACTGACTTTGAGTTATTTCAAATTAAAGAAATTTCAGTGATTAAAGTTATTAAATAAATAACTCATTCCTGACTGGACTATCATTATTTAATAGACATCTGTTAAAATGTGAGTATAGTCTGGTTAATTCTGATAGTAACAGACAAAAGAAGAATCAAAACCGAAAAGGAAAATTCTATCCCTAATTCTTAGTAATCTGAACTGCTGAGTCCAAGTTTTAAAAATATGAGTTTAAGATCCATGTAGGGAGGAAAAGAGAATTTTCCTGTTTGGCAAAGTTAATAGGCATGGATCCTTGAGATGAGACCATATAGCTGTCACCTCCTGCTGTCGATGTGGTGCGCTCAAAGCTTCTCATGCTTCCGGCAGGGAGGTCTCAGCTGAAGGAGGAAAACAGCCAGGGGCAGCGACCTCACCTTGCTGATCCGACTCTGCATTCCGAGAGACGAGGGCACTGACTGCTGGAAAGGTGATGCTGGACATGGCAGCCACAGTCCCCGCTGCCCACATCATCCTGCAATGACAAGTCAGGCTGTGGTCAGGTACAGGCCAGCCCAAGGAGCTTGCTGTTCAGAACGCAATCATCGGTGGCAAAAGTACAAATGTCTTCTGTTCTCTCATGTTAAGTTTTACTTATTTTTCGCCTTTTGAAAATGGGTTTTGTTTTGTTTTGTTTCTTTTTCGTGACCGGTAAGGGGATCACAACCCTTGGTGTGGTGTCGCCCGCACCGCGCTCAGCCAGTGAGCGCACCAGCCATTCCTATATAGGATCCGAACCCGTGGCGGGAGCGTCACTGCGCTCCCAGTGCTGCACTCTCCCGAGTGTGCCACAGGCCGGCCCAAAATGGATATTTTTTTTTGTCTTTTTCCGTGTCCGGCAACGGATCGCAACCCTTAGTGTTGCCCCCGTACNAGTCAGGCTGTGGTCAGGTACAGGCCAGCCCAAGGAGCTTGCTGTTCAGAACGCAATCATCGGTGGCAAAAGTACAAATGTCTTCTGTTCTCTCATGTTAAGTTTTACTTATTTTTCGCCTTTTGAAAATGGGTTTTTTTTTGTTTTGTTTTGTTTTGTTTCTTTTTCGTGACCGGTAAGGGGATCACAACCTTTGGTGTGGTGTCGCCCGCACCGCGCTCAGCCAGTGAGCGCACCAGCCATTCCTATATAGGATCCGAACCCGTGGCGGGAGCGTCACTGCGCTCCCAGTGCTGCACTCTCCCGAGTGTGCCACAGGCCGGCCCAAAATGGATATTTTTTTTTGTCTTTTTCCGTGTCCGGCAACGGATCGCAACCCTTAGTGTTGCCCCCGTACCGGACCGGGGACCGGCAATGGGATCGCAACCCTCGGTGTTGCTCCCGTGCCTCACTCAG